AGACAGAGAGCTCCACAGGGGCACTGGCATGTGACAACAGGTAGGGAGATGAGTCTTGAGACCTGCAGCACCTGTAGGTGCCTGAGAGGGCGGTCACAGCCATCATATAGAATTCTGCCTGGAACTCCACATCTTGGGACTTGGATTTCATTCTCTGGGGTTGGTGGGCTGCTCCCTCCTTGGACAGAATGAAAGTGTCTGTCGTGTATGCTGACTGACACAGCAGGATCACGTTGTCTCCAGACTGCACTGTTGAGTTTGGCTTCACTATCAGGAAGCTGTCCTAAAGAGAGCAGAGCTAATGAGAGGCTGCCTTCAATGCTCTGAGACGAAACTTCACAAGGTCAGCTCTGAGCACCTGCGACTCTGATTATTTTCCCTTCCTGAATTCCTGAAATGTTTCCCTATCTCTGCATCAGTTCCTGAATAAGAGTCCTGTCCCTCATCCCAGCTATCAGCTCTTAGGTCCCCCATGAGAGTTTATGCAGAGGTTAGGAACCAGATTGAATCTATTTAGATCCTCACCTGTGATCATGATGTCCAGGGGATCACTGGAGGCTGACCACTCAGAGGAGAGGTTGTGTGCACCACAGCATCTGTACTGCCCTGCAGTAGAGCTGCTCACATAGCCCAGTGTGAAGTTTGCCAAGGAGAGGCCAGCCTGGGTCCTCTGGCCATAGTGCTGGGTGAATTTTGTTTTACCCAATTTGTACAGAGCAAATCTGTCATAGTTGATGTCAGAGCCACAGTGCAGGGTGAGACTCTTTCCAGGGTCCAGGATATGGCCTTGATGAGTCAGCAGAGAGGGCTTCTTGGACAGTCCTAGAGGGAAAGTGACAGCCTAGTGATTGAGGAAATGGTTTTTACAAAGCACTTATCCCCACCCATCATGCCCTGCACAAGTCACTGGTTCTCCCCAGGAGTGGAGCTCTGGCTCAGCAACCAGGGTCTTCCTTTTATACTTTTTATCTGGACTACCCAGTGTCACAATTCTGTCATGAAGGGCTTAGGGTGTCAAAAAAGATTTTCAGTGATGGGGCTGACTCACCTGAGATGTGCATTTCCAGGGCCTCAATGGGTGCTGACCACAGCTGTGGGGTTTGGTTGTAGTAACCATAGCATTGGAATGTCCCTGTGTGGTCTGCTGTTACATGATCTATAGAGAATAAGGCTTGGTACTGCATAGTACTGTTGATATACTGTGAGGTCAGGGAGCTGGAGAATTTCTGATCTTCCTTGGTGAGGATGAACTTGTCATAGCTCTCCTGTGAGACACACTGGAGAGTCATGTTCTCTCCTGAGGTCACCACAGGGCTGGGCAATTCTGCCAGGTGTGGTTTAGTGTCATAGATTCCTAGGACAAAAGAAGCAGTCTGTTACATGGGCTCTCACAGCCACAACGTTCTCCAGGGCTAGGCTTTTGGAGGAAATACTGAGAGCAGTGCCTGAGGCTGAGACTCTGATGTCCCCTCACCTGTCACCACCAGTTCCAAGGTGTCCCTGGGCTCTGACCAGCCAGCTGAGGTGTAACAGTAACAGCGATATTGCCCGGCATGTGACTGTGTCACAGAAGGAATGGAGAAGGTGGACTTCTTCCCAGGCTTCTTCGGGGTCTGTGTACCCCAGGTTTGTTTGCTTCCCTTTTTATAAAGAAAATACACTTCTGCCTCCAGGGTCCCCTGACACGAGATGTTCATGGAGTTTCCTGAGGTGACCATGGTGCCTGGCTCAGCCTGGATGGTGGGTTTGTGGAGGGTCCCTGCAAGGAAATAGGAGAGAAGGAGGTGTGTGTGTCTGAAAGTGGCAAAGAGAAAGTCTCACTTGTGGATGGCATTTTTTTCTGTTTAATTTATTCTCCTGTCAAACAATACACTATGCCAGCAGTGCCCTCCCCTCCCCTCCCCCACAAGATCCACTGCTCCTCTGTTTCCCTTCAGAACAGAGCAGGGTTCCCAGTGATATTAATGGAACATGACATAACAACATGCAGTTAGACTAGGCAAACACCCTCCTGTTAAGGCTGGAGAAGGCAACCAGTAAGAGGAGAAAGATCTCCTGTGCAGGCAAAAGAGTCAGAGACTTCCAGACTCATGTTGTTATGTCCAGCAAAAATCACAAGCTAATCTGGCTGTGATTGTGCCCACCTTTAACCCTAGTATGCAGGAGACAAATGCAGAAAGGTATTTGTGAGTTCTAGGCCAGCCTGGTCTACAGAGTGAGGTTCAGGACTGGCAGGGCTACACAGTGACCCTCTAAAATCAGAAATAAAAAGGAGCCAGTGTAAATCAGCACAATATGTGTGCAGAATGCTTAGTGAAGACCCAAGCATGAACCTTGGTTGCTCTGTGAGCCCTCATGGTTCCACTGAAGTGTTGTGTGGCTCCTGCAACCCTTCCTATCTTTTCTGTGGAGTTTCACAAGTTCTTGTGGATGATATTTAAGCTGATCAGAGTAACAGAGGGCCCGATGAAGATCCTCTCTGACTGAGAGCTCCTACAATATGCTGTCACTATCTTCCTTGGATTCTGTATCTTGTTTCCTTCTCTCTTCCATGATCTGTGTTAATGGGCTAAGGAGCCCTGGCTCCTCACACACAACACACACCAAGGCCTCCCTCAGCAACTCTGTCATCTCTGTATCATTCTATGGAATATTTTTGGCTCCTCACCTGAGAACAAGAGCTCCAGTGGGTCACTAGGTTCTGACCACACTAGTGGTCTGTTACTGTGAAAGCTGTAGCATCTGAATGTCCACCTTTGACTGGAGGTCACAGGGCCCACATGGAACTTGGCCCGGAATGGCCAAGTAAAGTAGTAATACTCTGAGTCCAGTGTCCAGGATTGCTTCTGTGGTCCTTCCTTAATCAGAACGAACCTATGATATAGTTGCATTGAGCCACACTGGAGGGTGACTTTCCCTCCTTCAGTCACCACAGGTTGGGCTGGGCTGAGAGACTGGGTTTATTGTAGGCCCCTAGGAGACAAGAAGAATCAGTTAAATATCCTCAAAGGCCCCCTTACCCTCCAAGGCTGTGTGGAGAGTCACCCCTGTGACTCTTGACAGACAAACCTGAGGCTGTGTATTCTGTGAGTCCTCTCACCTGTCACCACCAGCTCCAGTGAGTTACTGTACTCTGACCATCCACCATGGGTCCAATATTGACATTGATATTGGCCTGTTTTGTTATGGTCTACTTTTGAGATTGAGAATTCAGCCTTGTTATTAGGATTTGGTAGTCTGTCTCTGTGTGTTAAATATTGGTATCCATTTCTATACAGATGGTATTCTTGGGCTCCCATGGTCCTCTCACACAGGAAGGTCACTGTAGTTTGTACAGAGACCACAGAATCTGGCTGTACACTGAGGATAGGTTTAGGGAGAGTTCCTGCAAGGAAAAGATCAGCTAGGATCCAGGACAGCCATCCTCAGATTGCAGCTCCCCAACCCCATCCCTCAGCCATTCCCAGGGGCAGCGAGCTTGAGTTTGCTTCCGTCCTCACTGGCCAGCATTGCTCCAGGAATGATGAGAAGTGATGTCAGGACATCTGCAGACACTCACTCACCTGCCAGCACTGTGGTTCTGAGGCCCAGTGTCACCCCTGGAAGAGAGTTCACTGTGATAAGTTTTTCCATGAAACTTGAGAAGGTCCTCTCCTCTGGAGAACCTACTGAGACTCTGGGGTTTCCTAACTGACCAGTGCTGGGCTGTGGTCAATCCTAGAGTGTCAATCCCAGAGCACAGTGTCCCCTCATACTCCCCACAACTCACCCAGACAGAGCAGGACTGTGAAGGAGACGGTCATGTCATCTCCTGGAGGCTGCAACTGTGCTTACGTGCAGAGCTACAGAGTCTGTCTGAAGGGACAGGAGACATAGGGTGTGGCCTCTGGAGGCAGGGCTCTCCCCATGACATGGTTGTGCTTCAGCAGCCCCACAGGAAGGGGAACTGCCATCTTCACATAGCAGGTTGTGACTTCCCCAAGGCTGTTGCTGTGTCATGCAGTAGACTCCATCAATACTTAATGGATGTCATTCCCAAAATCCCATCAGTGTCTGCCTCATCTGTCCTCAACTTTGTCAGGTACAGGTGGTAGCAGACATGAATGAATATTACACATAAGAAACACAAATGTCCATGTGGTCTTTCTTTATTCCTTTTCACATATTTTTTTCTTTGGTTTTTTGAGACAGGGATTCCTTCTATTGCTTTGTAGGCTGTTCTGGAACTTGTTCTGTAGACCAGGCTGGCCTGGAACTCACAGAGATCTGCCTGCCTCTACCTCCCGAGTGGTAGGATTAAAGGGGTGTGCCACCACTGCCCAGTTCCTATTCACATTGTTTAATGTGAAATACTTCCTCATATCCAAAATGTTGAAAGGTTTCTGTGAAGCGTCTCATTGTGTTCATCTCCATGGGATAAAATGTATAATCCACTTCCTCATAGTCTCAAGTGCTGGCTTACAAATGTGCACTAGGGACTGGAAACATGGCTCAGAAGTTAAGAGCACTGGCACATCTTCTGGAGGTCCAGAGTTCAATTCTCAGCAACCAGATGGTTCCTCACAACCATCTGTAATGAGATCTGGTGTCCTGTTCTGGTGTGCAGGTAAACATCCAGACAAAACACTATACATAAAAATAAATACATCTTTAAAAAGACCCAAGCAACATGAACACTAGTTTTCATGGCTATTTGTTTCTTTTTGATGTGTGTACTTTCTATTAGAACTTTAAATTATACTTATTTATTAATTTGCACTTAATTATTTAAATTACACTCATGTCACAGTCATAAATTACATTTTTCTTTATGGGTTTTTATTCACATTATTACAGCACACAATAGAGGTCAGAGGGCAAGGTCAGAAGTCAGTTTTCTCCTTGCATGATATGGATTAGAGTCAGGCCTGAAGGTTGGCAACATCGCTTATACACTGATCCATGTCAGTAACTCAGTCTTAGCATCGTCACTTTCCTTAGTCCTTCTGCTCAGGCCAAAAAAAGTAGCATGATTCCCATAATGCTGCACCAAGAATTTTTCAGTGTTATTTGATTTTCTTTGGGTGCAGGTTGTTGTTGTGGCCACCCTTCTTCTTAAGGAATTGACCAACAGAAGTGTAGGTGTGGTTAGCAGAGCATGGCCTTGTCATACTTGTCCTTCTGGAGAGACAGGCAAAAGGATGGCTCTATGATGCTACCATACAGGTGCAGCACCAGGCTCAGGGTGGGAATCTTTCTGGCCTCTGTTTGGACAGGGTTTAACCATCCTCAGTCTGCGGTCAGTAAATACCAGCCACTGCTGGAAAGTGTGGATGTCTTCCTTGTCTTGGGTCTCTGTCTTGATGTTGTCCTTGGTGTCACTGGGCTGGACATCGAGGGTGACGCTCTTGTACTTCAGAAACTTGCTGAATACCTCCATCTTTGTGTCTGTTCCACCACCTAGCTGAAGAGAATGAGAGTTTAGTAAAAATAATTTGTTTCTCTTTACTTTTGGAGCAAGAGAATATTGGCAGGTCCTCAAGGATTCTAAGCACATACCCCACCCTTGAGACACACCCACTTCCTCCTTCAATGTTCTATTTCTGAATTACTTTAAATTTATTTTATCTGATATCTCTTTCTTATACTTACAGGTTTAGTATTTATTCTTGCTGATTATAATCAGGCTCTGTCAGTGCACTCCAGCTCTCCCAGAGCTGGCTATGTGGACCAGGCTGGGCTGTAACTCTATGCATTCCAAGTGTTTGGATTTCCATTTTGTGCCACCTCATGTGGCCATGGGTTTAATATTTTAATGTTTAAAATGTCATTTTAACACATATTAAGTTTTGATGGTTCACCTTCCATCCCTCCCCTCTCTTACTGGTTTTTTTTGAAAGTGACTGAGTGGCTTTCTATTCTTTTTGAAATAGGTTTACATCATGATTACTGAATTTTGATTAGATTATTTTTCTCCTTCAGTTAGAGGGTACATATTTCCCATCATATATTCTCCTGTGATTGAAGACTACACACCCACACTGCAACACACACACACACACACACACACACACACACACACACTCACACATGAATGTGAAGGGTTGCCTTTTTAACCCAACCTTGAATTCTGTAGTATGGTTATGTTGATCAATGTCTATCATTCCATTCACGCGCCAGGATGTTTTTCCTGATAATATTTAGTTCAGGATTTTTAGCCTATCCCTAGATGAGAGAAATTTTCCACTAAGCTTCATGATGAAATGATCAGGGCCCTGTGCTGTCCTAAGGGAACCATCAGGCCTGGCTGCACTGACTGAGAAATCTTTATAGAGAGCTGTGTCAGAGTAAGAAGGGAGTTCAAATTGAGTCTGGCATTTTTCTTAGTTAAAATCTCACATTGTCCTGCCTGTGAGGACTTGTGTACCTGTGTCTTTTATCACCTGCCCATTCCCATCCCTCTGCCATTCAAACCTTCTCTTTCAAGGCCTCCAACACTTACTATGTTTTTACCATTCTGGAATACAGCAGTGGCACCCGTGTCATGCACAGACTTCTGACAAGACCAGCTGGGCTCGTCTTCTCTGACAGAATGTTAGGGGTTCACTGAGGACAGACACAGAGAGAGCTGTGTGCACTGTGCCATTTTATTGCCCCCCAAAGCAGTTCACAGAGCCCAAGGAGACTTCACACTAGGAGAACCCAGTCTAACCATCAGTCCAGAGAATACCTTGATAATCAGTTTTTCCATCCTTAGACATCTAAAAGACACCCGACTGTCAGTTTTTCAAAAGTTCTAGGACAGATCATTTCTAGGACAACACTGATAAATTCCATTTGTGAAAGCCTCCTGTGAAGATGTCCATGGGGTTCATTCATATCTTACATCAGCCCTCTCCCAACCCCTGATACAGGTCTCCACTTAGCTCACACTCTGACATAAGAAAGCTCAACTAAATGAGTAAAAATGCCATCTGTGGCTCTCCCAGTACACAGCTATTGCGAAGACCTATAGGACTTGAAATAATTGGTTAAGGGTTGGGACTTCTCACCTTTGACCAGCAGCTGCAGAGTGTTACTGGACATTGACCTCACCTGTGGTTTTGTTCTTGTAAAAGTGGAACATCTCAGAACATGCTGTGTCTATGGTTTTGGTGTTAGTTCAGGGTGTAAGAACATTCATGATGTGTTCTCCTTTCTTGGACAGAATGAAGCTTACAAGACTGCACAGTGACCAACACTGGAGGGTCATGGTCCCACCCAAGTCACCAATTGTCTGAACATGGCTGACAGGTGTAGATTACTATAGAGTTGTAGAAGGAGACAGCCTCACCCAGGCCTGGACTATGATGGTGATACCTGAGAACAGGACCCAATCTCTCTTGAGGACAGGGTTGTGGACCTGACCCTTTAGTGTCCTTTACTTTGTCATCATAAGCTACGGGTGTCACTGCTCTCTGAGGAGACAGTCCTTCTATGATGGAAACACTGATATAGACCTGTGTGATAATCTCTCATGTAAAGAATTGTTTACTTTGTCTTTCCCCAAAACATTGGATTTCCTTCTCTAAGCTCACACTCACAGCAAATCCTCACAGTGCAAAAAAAAGCATATCAAGGACTGGAGAGTTGCCTCAAAGTTTAAGAGCTTCTGCTGCCCTTCCAAAGGATAATGTTTTGTTTCCAATACCCACGTAATGGATCATACATAACAACAATTCCAGGAGACCAGATGCCCAAGCCTGACCTCTACAGATACCAGGGTAGACATTCATTGAGGTAATACACCAATTCACACAATATGAAACAAGTTGTTTAAAAAAATCTTCTCAAGCGTATCCCTAACAGATGTGCCCATATCATTTTTCCTTATTCAGTTTTAGACCCAGACAAATCATTAACCAAGATGACCTCTATATTCTCTTGACAATTTTCAAATTCTGACATTCAATTATTGGTCCCTCACTGAAAGCTTTCTCTGAAGGTATGTTGCTTAATAGGAGAGACTCAAATTACAAATACACTCAGCAAAAATTTCAGTTATGTTGGGCAACAAAAAATAGTTTATGAAGTCACAGAAGCATTTCATATAGCACTGGTTCTAAGTTATATCGTAAATAATAGCTTACTAAGTTATAGCTGTCTGTCAAAGAGCAAGCTATTCTCCCAACAATTGGCAGTGAGTTCCTTTTGGAGACCATAAGTAAATTTGCTACGGACCCAAGCAAACAGGAGATATAATGTGTCCTTGCTATATTATTAAAATGATGTAAATTTAACAAATACACAGTGATTTTGTCTGTAATTATGTAAGGCCCATGTGATATAAATTAATTCCCTAAAATGTATATATTTCAAAGGCCACAGTCCATGAATCACAACAGCTGAGAATTAGACATTGAGCTGTCCATTCTAAGCAATGATTATAATCTCACTCTCTTTGGGATTTTATCGTAATTTGAGAGGCAGGAGCCAAGTTGGCTCTATCCCTTGAGTGTAAGGAAAAGTCTCTACACACACATGCATATCTCCATGAGGATCGGTGAGGGCTGAGCCTCTTTCCTGTATCATTTGAGCTGTCCTGATCCTGTGTCTCACCATGAAACATTGATATTTTCATTGGTGTGCCCTGTGAATACGAAATTTCATGAAGGAAGATTTTTGCAGCATATTTTGCTATTACTAGTTTCAGATTATCCAGATTCTAATATCCTACAGGGTAGTGCATGCAAAATGGACAATGACAAGCAGTGAAGAATTTTGAATGAAATTTTTAGACCTGGGAATTAGAGAGGGTAGTGTTCAATTGGATTTCAAGAAATCT